ACAAACAAACAAACAAACAAACAAACAAACAAACAATTCCACTAACTATATTAAACACTGATGATGCTTGGTAGAAGCCTTTGGAATCCTTACATTTTCTTTCTTCTTTTTTAGACAGGGTCTTATGAAGCCTAGGCAGACCTTGAACTTGCTAGGTTGTTGAGTATGACCTTGAACTTCTGACTTCTGAATCTGTTGTGTCTATCTGGCATTCACCCATTTTTTTTTAATTTTCAAAACTATTTTATTTACTATTTTTATTTTATGTGTATGAGTGTACTGCCTGATGTATATAAGTGCATCCATGTTGTGCAGCGCCCATGGAGGCCAGAAAAGGGCATTGGATCCCCTGGAACTTGAGTTACAGACAGTTGTTAGCTATCATGTGGGTGTTGGGAATAGAACCCAGGTCCTCTGCAAGAGCAACCAGTGCTCTTAACTGCTGAGCCATCTCTCCAGCCACAGTTTTCTGTGATTCTGGGCATCTAAGTCAGGGCTTTGTGTATGCTAGGCAAGCACTTACCAACAGCCACATCCCCAACCACAACTCTTAAATCATAAAATAATGAAGTTTAAGATCTTCAAGCTTATTACATATGTGCCAATGCTGAACAACAAAGGGAAACTTACATAAGGATGTAAGGCATAGTTACTCTTTCACCCCAGTCTTAAGACACCCAAAATTTATATTCACGTCCAGAAAAATTACAGTTTGTTACATTCTACTCACAAATACTGTGATTTTGGAAGCATCTGTCTCTGCCTCTTGATGGACTATTTCTTTCCTACATAAAGGTAAATGCTAAGTGCTTTACTTACTTTTTTTTTCAATTTCAAAAATTACATCATTATTGTGTGTGTGTGCGCCACAGCATATGTGGAAGTCGAAAAACATTAGAGAATCAGTTTTCTCCTAAATCATGTGGGGTTTGAATCTGGAACTCTGCTTTTACTTCCTGAGTCTTCTCACCAGCCCTTCTTTTGTTGAGACAAGGTGTCACCATGTAGCCCAGCTGGCCTAGAACATGGGATCTTCCTTAACTTCCTAAGTATTGAGATTACAGGTGTGTGCCACCATACCCAGCAAGAATAGATTTTTTTTTTCTTGTTCTTATGAGGTGCTGGGGATGCTGCCCAGGGCTCGTACATGCAAGGCAGTCACTCTACCACTGAGCTACACCCCAGCCTTTCTAAAAGCTTTATATGGGTTGCATAGTTGTTTTCCTTTGAACCGAAACATTCCCTCTTCAGGGAGGTGCCTAAGACTAGGGCAACTAATAACGCTTATGAAGCTTGGGAAGCTCAAAGCTACAAGATCCACACGGCTCTTCCCAAGATTCTGCAGGCAGTAGAAAATGCTGAGAGAGGGGGTACTTTCTTTGTGGAGATGTCTGTAAGTTTGTTGGGGAACTTCAGGGATACATTTTCTGGCCTGTCACACATATTGGGGTAGGTTTTTTGATGCTATTGCCTAAAAGTCACTCTTGTTTCTGTAAGGAATTCTGTATTAATTCACAAAGTTAGACTTGGTGGAATAATTTCTTCAGTTCATCTGTGCCCTATCAAGCCTCTCCAGGAAGTCACATAACACATACTTCTCATTAATCTTTCTTAGAGCCATAGGATTAGGTGTTAATATTTTCTGCATTTTAAAACTCAGGAGACTGAAGCTTAGAAAAATTGGTAATCTGCCCAAGGTAATATGGTTTATAAGTAGAGAACCCAGGTATGTTTGGTTCCAGAAGGGCTCCCAATTACTATCATATCTTTGACTTTTGTGACAAACTGAAGCTATGGCGTGCATTTCACAGAACTTCAAGAGACCATATGCCACAAGGATCTACTTTCCAGTGTCCATCCTGACCTAAAATCATAGCCTGGTCCTTTTCCTCACCTAAGCCCTTTAACTTAAAGTTGGGGGATCTCATTGATCCTATTGCCCCCTGAAGTTCCCCACCCAATACTCTATAGACCCAGAGGTGACTCATAAGCAGAAAGCACCCAGTGATTCACTCACTGACAAAGAAGATGACAGAGAAGATGCAGTGAGTGAAGGTGGGTGGCAGAGCAGGGCAGGGCAGGGTGTGGCAGGTGTGCAGTGCAGCCGAGTTGCTAGTTGCAAGAGAGAGAGAGAGTACATACAGATCCAGAGTGGGTGGAGGTGGTGCTCGTCATGCTGTCACAGCTGCCGATGTGGGTCACAGGTTCTGAGCCAGGACCTGCTGGCCAAAGCTCCCTCTCGGGCATCGCCTGAAGCAGGGTGCAGGGGTGGTGAAAGGGGCTCCCAGAGGGGAAGTGAATGGAAGTGAAGAATGTCCCAAGCTGGGCCTGAAAAGAGAACAATCAAAGCCACGTGTGAGCAGAGGCTTCTGCAAGGCTCTGCTGAGGCCCCAGGGCAGCATGGCAGCAAAGACACCAAGCAGTCAGAGTGCTGGAAGGCAGCCAAGATCAGTCCTGTCTGAACCCCACCCCAGCTTTCATGGAAGGACACATGAGCTGGCTCAAATACATGCGGAAGGACAGACTTAGGGGGCAAGGAGGCAGTCTAGTCAGAAAGGAGATTCTATTCTTTCTCTTAGTTATTTGTTTTCTCTGATGCTGAGAGTTTAACCTACATTTTCATTACTCTTGGCTTCTGGATGTAGCTGAGTCTAGGTTTAAATCCCATTTGAGTCATTTACTTATTTGACTTGAGTAAAGCTCCTTTTTTTAAAAAAATTATTTATTATTTTTATGTGTATGTGTGTATTGTCTGCATGTAGGTAAGTGCACCCATGTTGTGCAAAGCCCATGGAGGACAGAAGAGGCTGTCGGATCCCCCGGAACTGGAGTTATGGACAGTTGTTAGCTGCCATGTGGGTACTGAGATTTGAACCTGGGTCTTCTGCAAGAAGAGCCAGTGTTCTTAACTGCTGAGCCATCTCTCCAGCCCCAAGTAAAATTTCTCAATAAATATGGTTAATATAAAGATTAAATGAGAGAACAGCACAGTTCAGTTGCAGACCATACTCAAACACTAGATGAACCAAACAGATAACTACTAGTGTTCTTATAATAAGAAAAAGACAAGAGCTATCTCAGACAAACTAAACTGAAGCATAGGAAGCAAGAATTCAGACGAGAAGGGTTCTGGCTGAATGGGAGACTACAGGCTTGAGAGAAAGAACAGGGCCCTTAATAGCACCTACTTCTCAGTCATTATGAGACTATGACATAGTGGAATAGCTCATGTAGAATAATTTGTGTGGCATGTGGCCCAACAATTGTCAGCTGCAGTCATTGTTAATAATATCATAAAAATTTTCACATTGCCACTGAGAAGGCCAACATCATCCCTCTGCCCTTGGTGAAATGAACATGGCACCCACAATGGTTCACACCAGCCAATTCCCCTGTGCGTCACTGATTCTGTTACTATATGCATTCCTAATAAAGTTTCCTAGACTAAGTCAAATGAACAAGAAAAATGTTCTGTGTAGCTCAATTCTAGCTTCTTAGGGGAAAATATTCAAGTTCATTGTGACAATCATAATAGAAAAGAAAGAAAAAGTCATTGTTATCATTGAATGTTCCAAGGATTTTCAAGTCTGTTTGTGGGAAATAGTTCACTAGAGCTTGGAAAGCCAAGGGTGACTCTTTTTTAATGTAAACTCAAATTGTAAAAGAATTTTGAACAAAATTCCATTTCAAGGGCAAACAGAAATTTTGCTAGAATTATAATTTTATATGATTATGAGTCCATATTTTGCCTATAACATCACATCGCACTATTTCTAGTTTTATCCTAATAGGAGCTAACTGTCCCAGGAAAATGTTGGGGACTTTGGTTTGGATGCCAGGTACATATCCCTCTGTCAGTAGTCGTTCCAGTGCCAGCATCAGGTTTAGGCTGGTTGGGTGAGTCAGTCTTCCAACTTTGTAGTGCTGGCAAGTAAACAGTCTCATAGAGCTCCTCTTTTGATTAGGAGAGCCCTTTAAATGAAGCAGGTAAGGAGGGTCAGGATACTGGGTTAAAAAAAGGGAGGATCCTTGAGCTAGATATGTAGTTCATAGAGTCTAGAGCCTCTTAGAAGATGCGGAGGGGCACCAAAGGGCAGAGACACCAAAGAAGTCCAAAGATACTTAACATTAGGTGAGACAGCTCTAAGATTTCTATGAAGTCAGTTCCTCAGTATTCAAAACCCCAAGAAACAGAAACATGAGGTCATGTGGATTAAGTTTAGTCATCTCAGCTATGCATTCCATTAGTGATTGTCCAGGTTCAGAGAGTACTAATCCATTCCTAACATTCTGTAAGGTTAATGGCACTCAAAAAAAATGCTGTCTAGAGATGTACTGAGCATAAGTAATGGTTGAGTGCTCAGTCCTAAAGAAGACATTCACACCATCACCACCAAGGCTCAGGGAATACTGTGGAAGAGGGGATACAGAGATTGTAAGAGTCAGAAGACAGGGAGAAGGGCTGTGAAATGTCACCTTCTGGCCAAGACACACTCATTACAGTCAGAAACTCTAAACAACTTAGGATGATTGTACTGGGTCTGCACAAGAATGTACCCATCAACAACCAGGTAATGCCAACAGCCAGGCAGGGATGGAGGAGGGACCCTGGGGTCCCTTCACTGATGAACTACTTCCTATGAATAGACTCAGGAAAAGGAGAAGTCAGTACCTTCAGTGTACCCACTAGTGACCCCACCAATGGTAGCCCAAAGTTATGAATCTGAGAAAGGAAGAGGTAAGAGGAGAGATAACTGACAACACTGGAGGGAGATAAGCCAGCGTCGGGGGAGAGAGTAACCAGAGTGGTTTATATACATATATAACATCGTCAATAACTTAATTTAAAAAAATGCTGTCTGAAGAAATAAACCTGTCATCTTGTCTGTTGGGATGAGCTATTTCATGGCTTTTAACCTGTAAGCTTTTTCTTAAATATTTCCCAGAAAGTAATCAGCTTAGTGGTATTGGAGAATGTTTTCAGCTAAATTAGCATTTGTGAGCGCTTAAATATGCATCCGGACATAATGACATATAAGACAGAAGCATTATTTTCAAGAAGTCAGTGTGGATCTAAAGCTCTATTTCTTGGCTCCAGTTTCCTATGTAAAACTGGGGTAATGCATATTTAAGGTGACTCATACAATTAATTTAATATTCTCTCTGAATGGATGAGACTCTTACTTTCAGAAAAAAATTACTACCTTTGTTCTTTCTTATACACTTCAGCCTTAAGTGGGTTGCCAGCTTCTGGTTCCTCCCAGGGAAGACCACTGTACTCTCATTTTGGAGCCTGAAGCAACTAGAAGAGATACAAGCAATGTGAACAACCTGCTTCACACTGCCTGTGTGGTGTTGTTTACAAAGTCTCAGATATTCTAATCAGATCTTCAAAATAATCTGGCAACATTTTCTTCATTTCACAGATGAGAAAGTTGAAGAGCTTCCCAACTTCCCAAGTGAAGTAGGAATGATGCATTTACAGGGAAGCCTGTGAGTCCAGACCCTCCAGAGGACATCTCAGGGACTGATAAAATGCCACAGGGAGCATGCCTGAAGGTCCCTGGCCACCTGTGACACTAGAAGTTCAAAGATACCGTCTCTTCTATGCAGTACCTTAAACTCTGTGCATTATCTGTTTCGGCTTGTATTTCCAGGCCAGTTAATTGTCCCAACAACAGACACATATGAGTAAAGAAATAGCACCAAATCATACCATCAGTACCACATAAGCACTGAAGAGAGGACCTTAATCTCAAGCCTGGGCTAAGTGAGTGCTCAGGTGCTGGAACTTTATCCCCACAGCTTTCTGACTCTAAAGTCTTTCCTCTTTCCACTACCTTTCTACTTCTCAACCCTGGCTTGGCCAAACCTAGATGCTTTTGTTTCCTTCTAACACATTTACAACCTTGAAACTTGTGGGCTGTGTCTGGGCAGCAATTGAAACCCTAAGCATTTCTGCTGATAAGAACCTTGAGAAACAAGCAAAACAGCCAAGGTGAGAGTTTGGTATCTTTTCACCCTTGACCCTCTTTGGAGATTTAACAGGAAGAGGGAGGGAATGGGCTAACAAATATGCACAGCTTATGGTCAGGGCCTCCTACCAAAGACACATTAAATATTAACCACTCCACTGAAACTAGCCAAGCCTCACAAGAGAGTAAATAAATGGCATGTGGAGTTTTGGCATCTGAAGTAGGTGGGGAGGGGAAAAGGCTTGGGTTCATTCTAGGCTGGTTGAATCAGACCTTCTGAACAGACTCAGGGTGCCTTACTATTCTCTGCCATGAGCGTACCCTCATATCTTCTAAGAACTCGGCCTTTTCTTCACAGAGAAATGTTTCTCTTAGACCAAGGGACTGTACTTTCTGTTGATTCAGAAATGTGCGTTGGGCTAGAGAATATCCAAACACCAAACCCAAATCAAAACTATAGAAAGAATGAGATTTTCACCATGTGTTTAGGCAGTGTTACAATCTCTCTTTCATCAGTAGGAAGGGGTTCGTAAAAACACCCTCTGCACAGAAGAGCCTTGTTAGACCCTGCAGGTGATCCTTAGTGCTGCTGAGTTTGCCATATATGACAGTCCAGTCAGTGTGAGTAGAGTAGGCTGGATCTGTGGAGTAGGGGAAGCTAACACTTAAAGCACCCAGGGCCAGAAACCCGATATATTCTTTCAGGGCTGTGTGCTGATGTCCTCTCACTTCCCCCTTTCCCTGCAGCAGAAGGACAGAGGCAAAGTTAATAATAGCATGCTAACCCCGACGATGGATGATGGAGAGCTGAGCTGCTCCTCTGACTGGACTTCTATATCCAGCTTCCTTGAGCACGTGCATCAGTCACGTATTTTGCCTTCTGGGACACCCAAAGAGGCACAAAGCAAAACCACTATCTGGTTGCCTGAGCCCTATTGGAACTCTGGTCAGACTTGATACACTGATCTGGAATGCAATGTGGGTAAGGCTTAGTGTGGACAAACAACTTTCTGTTTATCAGGGTCTGGATCTCTTAACAGGCAAGGTCAGCAATTTAATTAGTTGACCCTCAAATAAACTTGATTTATAAGTAGATTATCTGTGGGTTTTTCAAAGATGAACTGTGAGCCTGAATTAGTTTTCTAAACATTTGCAAACTTCATATTTCCTTACAATCTAGCACATTTTAGACTTTACACATCTGTCCAGAGTGTTCCAATACCAATTGCTATCATTATCAACCACTACATATACTACACCCTTTATTTAAATAAAGACACACAGTGAGCCATGGAGGAATTTCCT